CTCTTTTTACGTTTACAAAATAATCAACCAGAGCACGAAAGCCTTACTTTTTTTTTTTTTTGGTCTAACGGAATTAAAGCACATGCTTATTAAAATTGATATAAATTTCAATGAAAAACATTTCAATAAACAAATTTTTCCGGTCAATAGAACTTAATAGAAATATATTAATAACATACCTTAGAATAAAGTTAAGATAATCTCAGAAAATATGAAAGCATATTTGTCATTCTTCAAATTGATTTATATGGGGAAGAAATCTTGTTCTGACATAATATGTGAGTTTGTAAAACAAATACTATAGAGATTAATAGAATCTATGGGAAAGAGCCTATTAATGACGTGTAAAATATTAATGACATTTAAAATGCACCGACGGTCCCTGTCTCATTTGACGGTGTGTTATTGTTTTTTGGATTTTATGACAAATCAAGGCCTTTAGTTTTAACTTTGTCGTGCACGAAATTTAAAAAAAAAGAGTATTGATTTTGGTGATACAGAATTCATAAAGTAGACGTATATAACGTTATACTGTGATATAGTTCACTTTTGCATGCAGCTTTTATTGATACAAGTATTGAGCAGTCACCTCTTGATGAAAGTACCTATCGACCGATGTGGTATTACGTCACGCCTCGCTCAGTTTTCCAGTTACTTTTCTGTTTATAGTTGTTATTCAATTTGTAAAACAATGTTTTATTAATGTGATCCCTCTTTATATGTTGAATTCGGAATTATTATTTATTTGTTTTGGTTGGACGAATGTTTTCCCGAACTCTACACATTTCTCAGCAAAAATATATGCTAAAACCAAACAGGGACGAAAACAGCACAGCTTATAAACGACGCCCTTTGCATTTTTCGTAAATTGAAAAACACACAACTTATTACAGTTGAATACACAAATTACTTTACACTGGTACATTTTTTATTCCTTCTCCCTCTCTTAGTTATGAATATATATATATAATTAAGCGAAAATAGAGAACGATCAATTTTTTATTGATTAATATTCCAGTTCTTTCTCTCTTCAGCAACATGTCTCGTCTCACTTGGTGTAAGAAAAGTACAAGAAAAATATATACTTTGGATTTTCAAATATTGCGTTTAAACGTGTCTTTTGAAAAAGGAATAAGTTTTCTAATAACACGAAAGAAACGCAAACTCAAATGTAACTTTCTGTATTAGGAAAAACTATGTTGTTGTTTTTATCAGTTTTAAAAGATGTGCCTAATTTTGTTACTAAAAGTGAAAGAGTACTTCCCTGAGCAGCACGTAATTAACAACAAGAACCAAAACCTTCATTTTCACATAATTCCAGGTAGATTTTAATAAAAGTTATGTTTTTTTTCTTGTGTGTGAAAAGTCAAGTAACTTAATTTAACTTATTCTATCCCTCACGTTTTAAGAAACGTCAATGTCTTTCCGAGTGGTACCCTTTGAATCCGCTCCTGAATGTATAAGAAGATACATAACAGTAACAAGGGGCAAAGTTTTGATGGAGGACGATTATTTCAATTTAAGTAAATAAGCTCGTGCGTGTGAGCAAATTATTTTTGAAACATGGGGCTTCTCCTCAAAGAGACAGTAAGAAGGAAGACAAACAGTTTGTAATATTTTGATTTTACACGGATTTTAAACGACTATGTGTGTTTCTAGTTTCCCATTCACAGAATCCTCGGGAGGGTGGGAGTTTTTTTTTTGCCAAGCAATGTTTTTCCTATAATTAAATACGAAGCTACGAATTGTATAAAGAGCAACGCGGAATATGAATGCTGAACATATCAGAAAAGTGTGTAAGTTAGTGTTTTTGTATGCAAAATGTTTGAGATAAGGGTGAGTCTACATGAGTCTCTACCCCCTCCCCATTTTATGCAAATCCTATGTCCGCTCCTGAGATCAAACCTAATAGAAACAACAACAACAAGCGTTTAATCAAACAAAATAATGATTTATGAATATATTGAGATTTTATTTAAATGTGATATGGTTTTATCGTAATAAGTATGCTTTAAGATGAATCTCTTTCTGTTGAATTCTATGGATAATTTAAAATCTCCATTCGTCCGTTTTGAAGCAACGAAGTACACAATTGAAAGTATAAAAGTGCAAGCAATTTTTTTTGCATTTCAATGATATTGTTCATTTAAGGTTTTAACGAACATCTTACTATCCAAACCAGAAAAGTAAAGTGAAACGAAAAGATATGCAAATAAAGTTTGCGACTAATTTTTTCGTGTCATATATAGGCTTTGTTCAAAATGAAAAAAAAAATCGTTTTCTTTGTCGAGGATAACAGCCAACATTTTAAGCTGACTAACACGTACACGCGCTTTGACATCTGAATATCTTGAAACATTTGCATATTCAAATTGCTTTTAACGCTCTTCCTCACCGTGTATATGTTCATGCAGATTCAGTGTGAAAAGTACATCAACATGGTAGAAGAAAATGTAAAACTTTGCAGGGTAATGTGTAAATTCCTTTCTTGTTTTACAAAATGAGATGAACTGATACCACAAAGAAAATATACGATAACAGTAAAATTTAGGGGCTTTAATTGGGCACAAAATGTGTCAATCTATATTTCTTTAACCCATCGCAACTAAAAAAGCTGGTATTTACCAAACTGTACCGACCTAATAGTAAGCTCTCAATACAAATATCAAATTAAAACTGCACGAATTATCAGATTTTTTTACTAAGCTTTTAAAGGTCATTTTCTACACACTCTATCCAAGGTTTCTGTATTGTTATATGACACGTTAGTATATTAAGTTGTGAGAATCTGTCTTTATTTATTTTTTATAGTAACCCTTCTTCAGAGTAAGGTTGACATTTAAATGAATACTACCCATCATTTAAATCGTTTGTTTTTATTTATATTATTATATACGTGTATTAATGACATATAAGTGCTTTTTAGCTTACCATTAACACGAAAAAGCGTTTCTTTATCTTAATTTGTTTAATATACAAGAGATCAAATGAGAAGATATTAAGGAGTAAAATATAGTGTTAAAAGCTATTCACATCTTTCTGTTAGAAATTTTTTTTATTATTTCTCTAAACTACTAAGATAAAATTAATACTTAGATTTTAGTTTGGTAAAATCTTCTCAAATAAGAACATATTAAAGACAAAGGCATTGTAGCTTCGAACTTTAACAACACGAAAACTTGATCCAAAATGCAATTTTTTGTTTTTCAAATAGAGAATAGTTTGTATTTTTCTACAGGAACAAAATCCCTCAAGACCAGTACTAACAAACAGTCGCAATATTTTAGACTGCCCCTGGTGTTTCTTACAGAAAGAACCGCGCCACCAGAAGCTTCACAGAATACTTTAGGGAAGAACCCTCCGTCTCGCCAACTTCATAAAGCACCATATTAAATATGAGCGAGTTCAAGCTGCTGCTTATCTCGCCCACCAGCCACCAGGTGTTCTTGACGAATAAATATACGTCTCTGGAAGTATACATAATTTGGCAAGCTGTCCAAGTTAGCCGTCGAGAAAAAAGAACGGTGAAAAACTTTTTTTTTGTATCATTGACAGCCACAGCTTTCGGCCACCATATTTTCGTATTGCTTGAGAACTACGTTTTGGTGATCGTCAAAATACAGCAACCTTATTGGGAGTAGTTTGTTCGGAACGCAGCAAGGATCTCCAACTCTTGGGAAAAGCACATGCACAATGCTCTGTACCGTAGCGTGATTGGTTGGATATTGATTCTGACCAAGAGGAAAGGAACACTCTCCTTTACAGTAGTAGGCGTTGTATCCCTTTGGAGAAACTATCCACCCAGACCATCCAATCTTCTCGAAATCTACGTACATCTCGTGTCGGGTGCAGTCACTGGACGAAGATTCTTCGGGCACTTCCGACTGAGTGACCACTACTTCTTCCTCTGTGTTCACATCTTGTTCATTAGGAGATCTTTTAGCTCGTGTTTCGCTCGAGTCCAGGTTTCCTTTTACCTTTTTTATTTTGTCATCTGTTATTAATTTTCGCTGCCGTGTAACGTTGGTGGAGTTTCCATGTCGAACACTGGGCAGCTCAGCGTATCCAAAGTTATGAAAATCTACATAAAAAGTGCGAAATATCAATAGAATTACATACTTAAAAAACGACAAGGAAATTAACAAAATTTTAACATTTCGTTCGAGAATGTTTGATGCATTAGTTAAGATAAACAAAATGGTTTTCATCACTAAGAAACAACACATTAAATAAATAGGGACCGAACCTGTATATTCACAGTAAATAACTTGTATGTTTTTACATTTTGAAAGAGCGCACTATTTCGTCATAGTAACATAGTAGAGATATTATGGATTTCGTCGTAGTAACGAAGTAGAGATATTATTGATTTCGTCGTAGTAACATAGTAGATATTATTGATTTCATCGCAGTAACATAGTAGATATTATTGATATTATTGATTTTGTCGTAGTAGCATAGTAGATATTATGGATTTTGTCGTAGTAGCATAGTCGATATTATTGATTTTAAGGCTGCAAATATCGTATTGGTAAACAATGCATTTTAATTTTTATAAGTAAGATCGTAAGAAATCATATAATGAGTAGAGCTAATTAAATAAAGCTACACTATGGCTATCTGCGCTATACGTCCCTAATTTAGCAAAAACGTCCTAATCACCTGACCATGTCGGTCCTCATTAAAGTAGGAGTCGCATCAAAAATAATATGCCTCCCCCCTCTAAAAAACTCAGTGAAGCTCCATAAACTATAGAACATATGATAAATATAAACCGTTTCAATCATTGCTATAGCACATAAAGTAATGAAGCTGGAAGGTGATTTTAACACGCAGTTTTTGTTTCTAATCGAACACGTTCACGCCCTGGTCTTAATTTTAGCACAACTTTAAATATGTAAAGTATCAAAATATACGATCCAATTATTGTACATGTTTTATTAACTGTGGACACTGTTTTCATCACGCGACGCTGGGAGCATGCACGCTGGAGTTTCTCGAAGGATCATGAATTTGCCTGGCAACTCTAGTCTGATCGAGATGCCCTCTTTTTTAATATATAAGCCTGGCGAGAAAAACCAACGGTATTGAAGAGATAGATAATTGAGTCAAGCGAACAGTAGGCACCGTAAGTAAAGTGTGTGCATCACTGTGATTTATAGCGTGTATTATAAAATTAGTTAACTTTAAAGTGACGAGAGACGTAGTGATTGTGAAATTACTATGTATTAAAAGTGTGTATCGAGGAAGAATAAACTGGGTTAATCAAGAAAGGACTTGTATCGTTGAAGTTTCTCGGAAAGAATTTATACCGGAAACTAACAAACAAGCAGATACGTAACAACACCTATTTTAGGATTGATAGATACGAATCGAGTGTTAGCATATGTTTAAAACTCCGTTAAACATTTTATCTAGGACATCATGTTATTTTTCATTTCTTCGTCAATATAATGTTCTTACATTACTTTTTAATTATAATTTTCAATAACACGACATATTGAAGTAAAGTACCTAAATTTATGATTTTTTGCCCTACTTTTTTAATTATTGTTATAGAATTTTGACAGATTATCAAACTGCACATTTGAAGTTGCTTCCTTTGATCATTTGTAGTCGTTTTTTATAACCTCACCCTACTTCTCATTTACATGGTTCAACTGAGGGATTTTTACAAATTATTTATTATTTATTATTTTTTATAAATTATCATAAACACAGGTTTACGTTATTCATTAAAGTAGAGTAATTATGTACTATTTATTTAATTATTTTTCAATATTTGTATTGCTAGGGCATCCATCAATATTGTATAATCCTTACAAATATATTTTGCTATTTTTTAAGCTTTTTCTCCACTATATGTTTCCATTAGGGCGACAAACATGTCTCATGAATAATAACCAAGTATGTTGCTACAAACGCACATACTTTATTGTTCTAAGATTCAATTCTAATCATATGTGTGAAACTAAAAACTATATTTGTATCACATATTGTACGTTTTTACCATAGTAAATACTATTATTGCAAAACGATGAATCTCACTTCACGGTCAATATTTTATTGGTTTAAGTAAAACGTTTTCTTCTTTACGGGGTTTACTACAGATCAATATTAATGATCTTATACTTTAGTTTTTCTTTAGATTAGTAGGTATGTAAAAAAACTGCTTATCTTGTAAACGGATATGCGAATTCTCTGTCTCTGAACTCTGTATTTATACAGCACACAACTATTGAAGAAAGATTGGAAATTTGCGATATTTTAGTTATGAAAAAGCAAAGTTGCTATTGTAACATAACATGAAACCATGTTCTTCGTTCACATTATATAAATCAGGCATCTGATGAACTGTCATATGACCTGAAATGTAAACTGCTATTCAATCATCCTACGCTCATAAATTGACATTTAATAGAAGTAGGTTTACAACTATACAGTTCATGGCCTTCAATTTCAATAAGGATTACGTTACTACGAACAGTAAAGGTCGCCTTGAACTGATATTCCATGCTTAATATCAGTGTGTTGATAAGGTTCTGAGATATTCTCGACCACATATATGAAAAACAAAAAATCTCCAGGTTTCAGTCAGAGCCAACCGTACAAGCATTTGACAGCACAAAAGGTAGTAGATGTGGCAACTATATTAGTGCAGTGGGGAGCGGATTTTATAATCTATTGGGTTGAAGTCGGAGCCAACTCTGCCAGCACTTGATAGCACAAAGGGTAGTAGGATGTGACAACTATAATATGTCGCAAAAATGATATCATTCCATCAGTGCTTATTCTTACCCACCAGTTATATGCATCAAATTATTGTATGGAAACAAGAATAGTCCTAGTGCCAGATCCTCTCCACCTGACTATATGTGTTGTTTTGCTACTGAGTGAAGCACAACCTGTCACTGGTAAATAAAATTTCTTTACATGTCGTTAATTCACTTGTAGTATGCTTAAAACCATTGAAAACGAGTTATTTTGTCCTTACTGTGAGTGGAGTACATATCTCTAGGCTTCTGACAAACAGGTCGGCTTTATGATGGCTATCTCTCACGATCTGTCTTGCTTCGGCTGCGGACCTATGTCTCAGTCTCGAAGCAGTTAGCCCATAATTGCAGAAAGTCCGAATCAATAGATAGCTTGTGTTGTATATGATCGTCTGTCGTGTTTATGCGTCTAAGCAATTGTACCTTTGGTTTGAAAACCGTTCCATATTTTGCTCACGACACTCTGAAATAGCCAGAACGTAACAACTTACTGTAATTGGCCAGTTTTAATTTTATCAATAGCTGTCTGTGTGACTGAACATTAAAATTTTCTATTTGAGGTCGTCCCTCGCTGGGACAGTGATAGGTGTATGTAATTACAACGCTAAAATCAGGGGTTCGATTCCCCGTGGTGGACATAGCAGATAGCCTCATGTGGCTTTGCTCTAAAGCAAACAGACTCTTCGAGGTCTAGTTTTGATTCATGGACAATTCGAAGCATTTTAAACCATATGATCAACTTTAAACTGATTGTTTGTTTAATTAATTTCACGCAAAGCTAATCGAGGGCTATCTGCGCTAACCGTCCGTAATTTTGAAGTGATAGATTAGAAGAAAGGCAGCTAGTCAACACCACCAACTACCAACTCTTGGGCTATTTTTTGTACCAACGAACAGTCGGATTGACCCTCTCTTTATCACATTCCAAGTGCTGAAAGGGCGAGTATATTTAGTAACGGGATTCCAACTCTCTACCCGCTGATTTCGAGTTGGGCGCCATAACCACCAGGTCATGCTAAGCTAATTTTAAATTGGAATTGGGGCTAGATTCTACGAGACTACTATATGTATCATAGGCTATACAACCAATCATTTGCATTTTATATCAGACGACCGATCATCAGATGCCTGGTTTGCATATTACTGAACTAAACGTGAAGAGAGTAACAATATTAGATGTTTTGTCTTGACAAAGCTAAAGTATTTCAAATTATGATTGTCGTTAATTGTCTCTTATATTAAGTAAATGTTTACAATTTTTTAAATATTTATTTTCTTTACAAATTTTACGCTTTATATTTAAGTCAATTTGTATTTAGGTTCATTGAGTTCTTAAATAACTTAACAGTGCTTTTATCCTCTTTGGGGTGGCCCCCCCGTAGCACAGCGGTATGTCTGCGGACTTACAACGCTAGAAATCGGGTTTCGATACCCGTGGTGGGCAGAGCACAGATAGCCCATTGTGTAGCTTTGTGCATAAATTCAAAACGAACGAACAAACGAATCTTTGGGGTGGATTGCATCATATTAACATTTTCCTATTTTTTATCATCAAATACGAAGTAAAGTTACAAGTAATATTTCAATCTATCTTTCGAATTACTATAATATAGTCAACGATCATTTACGATTTTTGTACAATTCGTAACTTTTATTACTTTTGTCGTTAACAGATCTACCATATCTATCTTCAAACGCTGGATAAGAAAGATCATATGTAACTAAATAAATTAAATGATGTACTTTAAAGTCTTTAGTGATAGTGGATAAAGTTTATAAGTAACTCTTTACTATATCTAAAACAAAGATCTCTACCTCTACATCTAGATAACAGAAAAGTAATGTGTGTACACGTCATGGAAATGGAAATCAGCCATGACGTCAAATCCTTAGTCAATACAACCAAACAAACCAATAATAAAACGGATACACTTACTTCTGATTACAGGATACAGATAAGAATTTGTTTGTTTGTTTGGAATTAAGCACAAAGCTACACAATGGGCTATATGTGCTCTGCCCACCACGGGTCCGCAGATATACCGCTGTGTCATTGGGGGGCACGGATAAGAAATCCTTCGCGTTGTGACTGCATGCAGATAAAGATGAACTTCTCGAACTAAACCAACGCAAATCTAACTTATTAATCTCTAATCGCCAATTTTAAAATGGTAAAGCTCGGCATGGAATACTACATTCCTTTTTTTTAACGATTTGTTCGTGGGTTATGGTACAAGTTACCAATAGAAAGACAACCTAAATCTAAGCCATTCCTGAAACACAATAAATTTAATAAAACACTGAATCATATTTTATATTATAACTACCTCAACATGTTATGACTCATTCAAATTTTGTTTGTTTGTAATTAAGCACAAAGCTACATAAAGGGCTATCTGTGCTCTGCCCACCACGAGTATCGAAACCCGGTTTCTAGTGTTGTAAGTCCGCAGACATACCGCTGTGCCACTGGGGGGCAACACATTCAAAATACAAATATAAAGTCACAGACTGACAGAATTGAAAATAAATACATCTAGGACCATTTGACAACAAATACAAATACTTAACAAAAATAAAAACCTAAAATATTTTACAATACGATAATAAAATTGACATCATTTGAAAACAATACATCACGGTAGATAATTCTCAAAATATAACCAATTTTACCATTAGGTAGTTAGCAATTTGCATTCAAGAAAATGCCAATTCAAGATCCATATTATTTTCAAGTATTAAGAAACATGCGTTAATGATTATAATGACCTTTAAGTAGATGACAAATCAAAATTATAGCTAAGCCCAGCAGTGAGCAAGAACTGCAAGTAAAAGAATGTCTATAATTTATAAACTTAGATCGAAGTTGGACGAGAACAATTTTGCAGTTCGTTAATTGTTAAATATTTGAGAGTTAGCGATGTGTTAACATAAATCATTTACGTTGAAAACAGAGTTATACATGAGAACTTGAAACTCTAAAATAAAATTATAATAATATCCAGAACTATATAAAATCAAGATGTAGTTAATTTGTAAACCATTATAAACAAAATTTAAAACTAGTGGAAATAAGGGTCAAAGTATAATACAATAACGGGCGTATACACATCAGAACAATGTGTTTATAATGCCTGCATACAGGTAAATCACAGTAAAAAAAGGGTCACTTGCTGTAGCTCCTGTGATTCCGTTCATTATACCTTGCTTAGTGTTACTTCTTTCTTGATTTGATGTGTTTGTCTTTTGTTGTTTCTGTTTTCCTTATTTTTTCAGCATGTCCGTCTTCTTGAACTAGCTAAATTGTAGTCTGTCTCTTTTATTTATTTCCTAATGGGATCAACCTCACTTTCCCAAAATTGTGTTGTCACCTTCAGATCTGTCTCTCGTTTCCTTCGTTAGTCTCTATAGACTAAGGATGCAGTTTAGAGCATTGCAGTATAGTGTGGAATACTCAGTTTACGTTTAATGACTTCAATTGCGCAGTGACTTAATTGCAAAGTAGTGAATTTCTTTTATTCAACAAAATTAAATTTGGTATATGTGCCACTCCATTTACATCCTTCACTTTACGAATTTCCAAGTGAGTGGTCGCCAGCAGTAAATTGTAACTTCAGTATTGGAATCAATTGGCCTGTTCATTTTTAAACTCGAAATCGATGTTTAACATGCCGGGTAGATTATTGTTGCGGGATTCTATCTTCAGGTTAAAGGGCTCGTGTCAAGCCCTGCCTATCTTCAGGTTAAAGGGCTCGTGTCAAGCCCTGCCTATCTTCAGGTTAAAGGGCTCGTGTCAAGCCCTGCCTATCTTCAGGTTAAAGGGCTCGTGTCAAGCCCTGCCTATCTTCAGGTTAAAGGGCTCGTGTCAAGCCCTGCCTATCTTCAGGTTAAA